CAATAAAAATGTCTGTTCACATAAAAATACTTTTATATTTATTTTAAATACAACTCAAATTTTTTAAAATAAGAAATTATTTTATTTGAAAATGTATCGTTCCTTTTAACAATCTTAATAAATAAACAATTTTATATATGTGTCGAATTAAATAGTTTATTTATTTATTTATTGAAAATTAAGAATTTCATATTTAAATGATATATATTACTAAATATGTTATATATTTTCATTTTAACTACAAGGGTATATAAGCTTCGGCTAACCAAACCTAGCTTATTTTCTTTCTTTTTTTAATTTTTATGTACATGATTGTTTTTCAATATACAACATTTAACTGTTTTAAATAATATTCAATAATGTTCTTAATTTGGACTATAATTTTATAAGATATTTTAATCCTTATCTTATTAATATCTGCTCAAAAACGAGTTTAACAATTTACTTAAGCAGGCAATTTGTTCGAATTCAATTTAATGTGGTATTAAATTTTGAAAGCTTTTGAGGGTTTATTATATTATTTAAATTAAGTCTGCTGATTTTTCGATGAGGTCATATTTTATTTCTGCAGCTTAGTACTACATTTTTTGAGAAATGTGTTGCGTATTAAAATCCCGAAAAAATGATGCTTTAATAGAGAATGGTTTCTGAACATAAAATAATTCATTTTCAAATTAAAATAACAAAAGTTATAATAATTATTGCAAGCCTTTTTTTACAAATTAGAAAAATGGAAGTTATTTATTTCAGTTACCAGGAATGCTTATGAATGTTAAAAAATAGTAATAAATAACACAATTGTACGTTTATTTAAAAGTGAATCAAATGCAATTATGAAACACACTGTACCTCTCTAAAATTTTCTAGATCAAAGATAGTAGAGGATCGCCGGGCGTGACAACAAGTTCAGAGCCGCAGTTCCAGATCTCCAGGCCCAAAACTTAGTTCACCCCCAATCCCAGAATAATAAAAGAACCAAACCCGAATTCGCCAGCAAGTCTAAAGAAAGGTTGGGCGGTAGCATAAAAGTGAAGCTGTCACCATTTAAGGCCGCCATTCAATTAACTCTGCCTCACTAATTCCATTAAAGTTTTATAGGGATTATAAATCTCCAGACCGATATATCAAATTCGCATCAGAATCGGGCAAAACCTCAAGAAACTTTGATGGCTCATCTAATTAATAGTTCCTAAGCGTAGTTCGCCTTTACGACTTGTTTATTTAATAATTTATCAGAGTTTTCCGCAAAGCTCAGATCCGGTCACCCCCAACCACTTTAAAATCTGGTTATTTAAGATGATTTTTCAACTTTTGGCTTGTTAGCATTTTGTGCGCACCGAAGCTAAAAATAGCACAAAGCATAGAAAATTAATAAATGTAGAATTGAAAAACGGTTTCGGGTTCCTTGGTCCACTCTAAATCCGCTTCAAGGGCAACAATCGATTGGGAACTATGTCAATCATTGTGTCAGGGGGTCATCTTTTGATTTTTCGGGAGTCTTAAATTAGTTTATAGTAGTTTTTTAAGTGTTGTATCTTTTAAAAAGAGCTTCTTCTTTATTGTTAACCAAACAACCTAAATGAGAGATCCTTAATTATGTAATTTATAAACTTGATCATACGGATATTATAATTAGGGTTCCTCCATCCTGCTTTGCATATTATTTGTTTCTCCAATTAATCATTTATTGCCTCCATCTCTAAATCAACAAGTTCTTAAATTGCTTAATGATCAGCCAACCGCCCAACCTTTCAATTAAGTTGAAAGACGAATCAATCATTCAGCACCAATCGCACATAAATCAAGAAAGCTGGAGGAACAAACGAAAGGAGAGGCACAGATCTTCGTGTGCGGGTTATTTAGCTATATGCCAGATGAGAATCGAATCTGAATAATGTTCTCCATCGATAGCTTTGCCGTTACTCAGTGGAGTGAGAAAATCGAGACACTTGCTCTACTTCGAAACGCTTTACAGGGCAGACAGCGCGACTCCATCGCATAAACATTGTGAACAAACAATCGCAGCCACTCAATCACACGTTGCTAGCGCTGCCAGAATTTGGAGTAGAAGCTAAAAATGCCACCAAAAGACTAACACCTTTATTAATAAACAAAACTGTATAAAATTAAAAAGAAACCTAGATATTTCATATATTGATAGTATATAAAATAAATACAGTGACTTATCCATTAGTTTGCAAAACTATTTTTACTTATTTTAATATTTATCAAATAAAATAAAAATAAACACCAAACTTAGAGCTAGCTATGAAGTAGCTAAAACTAGCTAAGAAGTAGCTGGCAACTCGGCCAACTCCGCACGGTGAGAGGGAACGGGATGGCGTGAGAGCGGCAGCGCGTGCGAGTTTTGTACAGTTAGACATACATGCGCCAATATTACGTATACGTATTCGGTAAACAATATCACGTATACGTACGAGTGGGCTTGTATTTGTGTGGCGACGCGTGCGGCGCATGCGCAGCTTTTTTCGACAGTCGCTTTTTTTGTATTTTTTGTCTTGACGACCCGACCGATGTGCCATTGCCTAACTAACCGATTTTTATCTTTATCTGCTGCGTCGCGGCGACATTTTGCCGCTTCACCTTACACATGTCGAATCTTAATGGCCCACAGTAACAGCGCCAGTGGCTTGTGCTTCTTCTTCTGCTTATTTATCTTATTCCCCACTTTTTTGCCATAAATTATTATAGCCTTTGTTGCTTTTATTGGTTGTTTTGGCTCCCATCATAATTTGCACCTGCACGAGAATCGCACTCGCAAATTAGGTGCGTTTGTTGGGTGATCAAAAGGGGATTAAAGAGGGGGTTTTTATGGGAAGACGATTTTGATGCATAGTATCAACAAAAAGTATCTATATTCACATAAACACAAAGATCTTCTAACTACATTAAAAAATCTAAATCTAGAAAGCGCTAAGAAATGTTACTCTAAACTTTAAAATCAACAATAAATATTCAAAAAAGAGGAAGGCAATATGAAATTTATAAAAAACGCTTTGTTTAAGGACAAAAATTAAAAATAACAAATGTTAAAAAAAAATAACATTTTTTTTGCCAAATTCTTCTTGGATTGAAAATATATTAAAACGTTTGCGCGTTAATTTCTTAGCTTTAAAACTTCTCCCAAACTTGATTAAAGACACACTCTAACTTAAAAACACTTTTAAAGGATGTATAATTTAAAAAAAAGAACAAATAAACTTTTAACTTGAGAATCAACTTATTATAATTTTTTGTATACCAACAATGCTCCTATAATGGTTTTAAATTAAAGAAAGGAAGAGAAACGAAATTGTTGTCTGGTACAAATTAGAGAAGTGCACAGACTTTCCAACGGCAATGTGGATGTCAGGCCATATGCCCATAGTGATAAAAACACGTTTGACCATTAACGATGACTGACTTTCATTAGATAGATGGCCAAAATCCAGTTCCCCTTCTCCATTTCTGAGTGGGTGCTTTGGGTAGCATCACCACCATCACCCAGCGACATCATCGATATCCAAAAATCCAATCCAAAAGGCAGGTCTTGGTTCCAATTCGATGTGATCGTGATCGAGAGGCAGAGACATTTCCGCTTACTTAGGCGCAACAATTTAAAAATTGACAGCTCCGCGGTTGCCAATTAATCTTCTATTGGAATCCGAATGCGAATGTGAATCGGAATGGCCGAAAGCCATAAACCAAATCCAGATAAATTGGTATAAATGTCTTTCCGAGTAGAGTTCATAAATTAAATCAACTCCAAATTGATAAAATAAAAGGAATAAAATCAAATTCTGGTTTTTCATCTTTAAAAACTGTGTGACGTGGGAGAACTCAAAACTTGATAGTTCGCTTGGGAAATCGTTGACCCTGCCCGGAATGTTAATAAAGCTTTAGCCCATAAAATAATCCTATTTTTTAAGAAGTTATTAAGTTGAGTGTTATTATTTCAAAATCAAGTACAAAGAAAGTCAAACTTAAACTAAAAGTTAATAAATGTTTTAGATTTCTTTGTTTTCCTTAGAGCGGTTTTTTCTGATCAAGAGTTTTGGTTTTATTTACAGAATTTAAATATCAGAGAAGGACTACCCATATGATTTGCTTGTTAAAGAGATCTTTATTTTTTTGGATATTATCTCTCAAAAAAAAAATGTTACTTATTTTTTTTAAATTGAATTATAAGATAAGCCTTAAACAAAAATGATTTAATTACAAAAGTTTTCAATTGCAAGCTTTGCAAATTTTAAACTGAATAACTCAAAAAACATGACTGAATTTTAATAAAAGTCTAATATTAAAAAATCCCTGAAAAATTATCAAAAGAGTATTTACAATTTCAAAAAACCAAGCATGCACAAAGCATGCAATTACGTCATGGGATTAATTAACTAGCAACGATTTCGATTTTTACAAATTCGTTTTGCCTAATTTAATCGAATGGAAGCGATGAGGTGAAAGGTTCTTCAACAGTTCCTCGTTTTGTTGCTCATCGATTGGAATACTTAATTTGGCCGATGCGGAAGCATTAAGCGATTTGTTTGCCTTAAACAATTGCAATCAATTATCCGTCGATTGACCGAACTAAAAGCATTCATCAATCAAAGAGAATAGCTATCTCTTTCGTCCACTCGATCCCACGCAAAAGTACAAATATATATTTCGATAAAGCCTAGAAGTGAGCTATAATTTTGGAACCCAAAAAGATATGCTACGTAAAAAAGAAAAATACATTGCCTCATTTTTGAATTCGTTTTTTATTTAGGATTTTTTTATACAATAACTTAACATTTTGTTGGTTTTTTTTTGTAGGTTTTGCTTTCTTTTTGGAATCGGAAATTTACAATATTAAATATTGATTTTATTGCTGTACTGGCTGCTGTTTCTTCCACTTTTTTCCGTCGCATTGATTTAGTTTACTGATTTGTTTACTTCTTTCGCGGATTTTGGAATTTCCCTCTTGTTGATTTGCTTATTTTCAGTTGAAACAATATTGCTATTTCATATATCTGTGTATATATATATTTAATTTATTTTTTTTTACGTTTATCAAATGCAGCACATTGATGCTTAGGCTGTAGGTGTGTGGGTGTGTGTTTGAGAGTGTGTGTGTGTCTCTGTGTGAGTGTTATACTTGTGGGTGTGGCGGTCCATTTCGGTGTTCTCATTACGTTCTTTTGCTATTTGGTTGCTGCTTTTCTCTCTGTGTAAACTTTCTTGTACCTCGCTTTGCTCGATTTACCTGCTTATTATTCTTGCATATTTGTTTGCCTTCATTTCACTGCTTTTGATTCGTGTTCAACCGAGAAAAATACTTAGTGAAAGGGGTTGGAGAAAGGGGGTGGTCATGGTGGTGGTGGTGGTGGCGTGTGGGGGGTTGTATTGTGCTTAACTAAGCTGAAAAACGGTGGTTCCTCCTTTTTTTATATATTTTCTCTGGCCTCAATTCTAATCTTCTGTTTTGGGATTGCGGTTTCTTCAAAGCCTTTCTTCTCTACTCAGAGAACTAAGCCCTCTTTGCTACCATTTTCACCCTCTGTGTTCAGCACCGCTTGCCTTTGATCAGCCGCTACAGTGGGCCCCAAAAGTCAGCGCACCCGGTTTGTTTTTTATTTTCTGTCACATGTATATAATGATAAAAAATAATTGTTCATTATTTAGCCTTAGAAAATTGGGATTTCTTTAATTAGTTTTTGTTTTTTTCTACTGTTTCCGGTTCATCTCGTTTGCTTTATTGCGTCATACATTTCATCTCATATATCGTATAGTATATATGCGTATGTGTGTGTGTGTTTTTTTGTATATGTACGTGTGTGAGTGTATATTTGTTTTAAGGTTTAACATTTAATTTACTTTCATCTGCTTCGTCCTCGTCGTATAAATAAAAATAAATACATTATTCTTTATGTTAAATTTTTTTGCTTTCTCTTTAGATTTTGTATCCATTATGCATGCAAGCAAAACGTTTTTCGTTTTTATTTTTTTGTTGTTTTTCTTTTTTACTTTTTAAACGTCCCTACATCCTCATCTTTTTCTTAAAAAGCCGCACTAAGTTTTACAATTACAAAAAAATCTTTTCACATATATGCATGTCAGTTTTGTAACATTTTAATTGGATGCCATGGACAGAAAACAAATTCCGCAACTTAAAAGACGGTTAAGACTTTCATTAATATGCGAAAATTTTCCTAGGCAAGACATTTTAAAGTTATCGAAAAAACATGCATACTTGAAGTTGAAGTCACATTACAGAAAAAGGAAAAAAAATATTATGTATATATAATAATATTGAATTGCAGTTAGCATCGGCCCCAGACTAACAAATATATATAAAATATATATATATGTGTGTACTTTAGATTTACAATTCAAGGTTTGGATTTTCTCGATTCTTGTTTTGAAACTGAGGCAACAGCTGCTGCTGCTGGGTGCTTAAATTTTGGCTCTCACTGTGGCGCTGCTGTTGCTGCTCTTGTTTTTCACACTATTTTCTTTTTTCTGATAATCTTCTGCTGTTGGTCAGAGAGCTTGGTTTTAGTTTATGTTTTTCTAGTTTATCCTTGTTGTGTTGTGTGTTTCCATCTGGATTGGATTTTTGTCTCGGTCTCGTCTTGCAAAGCTAAGCAAAGCGATTTTATGCGGCATGAAAAATATCAACAGCTCGGCTCCATTGTCCCCACAAAAAAAAAAAAAAACATTAACATCAAAAAACACGGCTAGCCGGAAAAATGCCCGCCCAAATATTTTGTTTGACCCGCCCCATATATCGTCGTTTCTTCCCCGCGAACAGAATAAAAGCAGCCGATTATTGCAGGACGCAGCAGCCCTTCTTCTTGTTCTTCTTCTCGTCGATGACCACGTGACTAGCGGACGTCGGTCCCGGAACCACCTGTTTGGAGACCTGTCCCAGCGAGGTGACCCCGTTGTTTCCGCCGCTCAGCTCGGTCGCCGTCGCTGCTTTTCCGGCGCCAGCGTCGGCAGAGGCAGAGGCATGGGAATTTGTACCATTTTGTGCTGTTGCTAGATTCTGCGAGAGCTGCAAAAGAGGCACACAGAGATCTAGTTAATACACCCAGGGCATATGGCATATGGTATATAGTGCATAGAGATCGGCACTCACGTTTGATTTGGTTACACTCTCGCCAATCGCCGCTCCGCCGTTGCAATTGTCGTCCGCATGCTGGGCGCTCCCGTTGCCAATTGTACGCTCCTCTGTGGGTGTGATGGGCTTGCCGCCTGCAAAAACATATGGATTTAGTGGTAATCGAATATGACATGCACTGTTAACACCCAGAAAAAAAAGCATGGAGTAGACCTTGTACACCACCTTTACCTTACTTACTTTAAACCAACATTTTTTATTTCTTCAAAAAGTTGAACTTGTTTTGAAAAAGGTGGAAATTACAGCAAGTGTCAAATCGGATCATCAACTGGTTAGAAAACCATTAAAAATAACTGAACCAAGTGTTGCAGGTTGTGCGACTTTAAAATACGCATTTCAGGGACACGAGTGCATTTTGTTTTGAAACTTAATCGCGATGGGAAGACTATAAAAATAACCACAGAACTCACCTCTGATCATATTGACAATTTCATCAGCCTCTCTGGACAGATCGCCGCCGGGACGAAAGGGATTATCCCAGCCGGAGTCGGTGCTGCAGAGGAGGGAGCAGGCATTATGGAATTACGGGATTACCCATTAATCGGTGAACGGAATTAGGGGGATTTATATATGTAAGTAAGTACACACCTCTGCTGTCGATCGTAGGCAGGTCCCAGGCCAATAACCTGTGGCTGCTGCTGCTGGATCCCCGCCGCCGCCATCGTCGCGTAGTCGAGGTTGTAGTTGTAGTTATAGCCTCCGTCTAGGGCGTCCAGCAGGTAATCCGCCGGTGGACAGATCTGCTGCGGCTGGCTGCTTTGGTAAATGGAAACGCGCACTATCGAACGCTCCGATCTGGAAACGAGCAGAGCAAACACACAAATCGAACTAGAGAATTGCTATATATATATATATTTATATATCTACATATTATGTGGTGCAGTGTGTTATATCGGAGGGAAGGAGGGGAGGGGGATGTGAGCGGGGGTAGCACGAACACTAAAATCACGCATCGGCGCATGTGACCTTAAAATAGCTGAGCAAGTGCGTCATCTACTGAGGAGCCACCTCAATGTCAATTAAATTAAGTCGTTTGCCAATTGGCTTTCAGCAAAATATCTGATTCAATTGATTGAAAGCGGCAGCGTAATACAATTCACTTGGTTTTGGCCAGTCTATTGGCCAGGTTCTCAAATGGTACTGCAATGAAAACAACTTTACTCCTCAATCCTTTCTTTATCAGCATCTGAAATGGCGTGCCTCATCCACGAAACCTCTGAAAAACCATCTTCGTCGATTTCCATGTTCTCCATATTTTTAATGGTTGTTGGAATATTATTGTTAGGTGTTTTTGAAACCCAAACAAAATGTGAGCTGTCTCACTTACAAAAATTTCAGAGGTCACTGGATCAAACTAATTTATTGAATTCAGGGGAAGTGTTCCAGTTTTTGATTTTGGGGCATTGGGGGATTGTTTGCGTTATTTTTGGATTAGTTCCCTTTCGAACACGTTTTTGAAAGTTATTTAGAAACTATTTGTGTTCCAGAAATACAATGCTTTATTCGAAGAGCATTTCTATAACGTATCAAAATGCTATTTATTTAAAAGGAAAGCATTATTTGCTCTTAACAAAAATAAACAAAATATTTATAATAACAACAAGAAACTATCGAAGCTCCCCATAGAATTTTAACAAAGCCAATAAATTTCTACCATTGTATCCCAATGGAACGCTATCTAATTTATAATTTTATCGTATTTTTAAATAGAAAACCAGCAGTTTGATAAATCAGTTCAGAAATAAATTTAGGTTTATAACACACTTTGCTGGTAGGGCAACTTTTTTTTATCTTTATAACTGGTTTATGTCGATGACTTCATTTGTGGCTGGTTGGTTGTGCGAAAAGCCTGAGATTTACTGAGCCGAAACGCACTGTATGATCTAAGAATGGGAACTGGCGGCATAGAATGGGAATTGGAGATTTAACTTGTTAGATCGCAATCTCCATCTCCATCTGCACCATCCAATGGCCCATGGGACATTCACTTCCTACATCTTTCCAGGCTTTTTATTGTCCAAGAACTTTGAACCCAGTGGGAAAACCATTAAAGAAACCTGTCGAAATAAGAGAACCAGAAGAAGTAGCGAAAAAATAAACAGCCTACAATCGAATCAGACAACCCGTTCAGTTCACTGTATAAAAACCCCCTCCACCTACCCCACACAGCTTTTATCTGTTTACATTTCAAATACACTTCATAACCCAATGTGCTTGTTGTTGCTATTATTTGTTTTGTTCTTGTTGTTGCTGTTGAACATGTGAAGATTACGTCATGTGCCGAAATTGATATGGAAAAAATGATACTGAGCTAGCTTTGAACAGTGAACTAGCATTAGAAACACCATTTATAAATATCATCTACCTTAAGCGCATAAAAAAACCGCATGAAAAGTCAATTTTATATTTTTCATGCGATATATATTATTTCTTAAAAAGTTTAAAAGAATTCGGAAACTCCGTTTAATCAGAAACTTGGTTATTAATGACAAAGAAAAGCTTCTCTCTTTTTCTATCCTCTTAACAATATTTCTACTTAGCCAACACCCTTTATTTCGATAAGTTCACACTATCAAGCGTGGCCTGTAGCCACTGGAACAAGAACAAGACCATCAACAAAACACGAGTGTTACAAGCTCGAAAAAACAAGTTTTAGGCAAATACAAAAAATAACGTTTTCAGCTTGTTTTGGATGAGAGCATTATTAAACGTTTTTTTCCCTGAGACAAAAAGCTTGTTAACTTGAAGTAGAAAAAGTTTAAAGATTTACCACTAACTCATAAACGAGACTTTAAGTGCTCCAGCAAATTAAAGAACTGAAAAATATGGGAAAACTTGTTGCCGTATTACTATGAAGTAGGAGGTGGAGCGGATAATGGAGAAAAAGAGAAGAATAGAGGGGGACGAACATGAACTGTAAATGGGAAACAGAAGCAGAAGAAGCAGCATCAGCTGGGGAAAAGCGAACTCGAAGATGAGCGCATTAATTATGTTTGCCACCAACGATCTAGCTGGTGTTGGCGATCTGGCCTTTATTTGGCTACTAGCCAGCTATAATTGGAGTCGAAGATGGCAAGTGATTTTAATCAGGTGTTCGATTGAAAGCTAACAATACCAAACATCATTTTAAATCTGCTCCATCAGTTGAATCGTTCATCTTTTCAATAATTCCCTTCATAGATATTTAAAAAAAAAACTTAAAATTTAAAAGAGGCTGCTACATTTTTATTTGCGAATAAATATTTTACATAATACTATATAATAAAATATATCAATGTTTTTTCTTGTTTCCTGTGTAACTGCCAAGCATATGGAACTTATAAATCCAAAGGAAGGTTAGCACTTGGAAAAAAAGTTTACGTTTATTTACATGTCAGTGATTTCAAAGCTTTAACTTGTTTTAATGCTTAATTTTTGCAATATTCGTATTGCTTTTTTTGCAACGAATTAATGACAACACTGTTAAGTGACTGCGACGCCGGCAGCGCAGCAGTTCTTCAATTAGTTTTGGTCTTTTGTTTTTGTATTTTGGGGCACACACGCGAGGGACTACGTCACGAGCGGAAAAGAAGAAGAAAATGGAGGAGGGGATAAAGTGCGAGAGGGAGAGTGAAAATTAATTTAACAAATTATGCGACCCCACCCGCAAACACAAAAACAAAAAAAAAAACAACCACATGAGAAACAAATAGCGGAAAATTCATTTTTGCACTTGAAAAGCGAAAACAGAGAGAGAGAGGAAAAGATTGGAAAAGAGAGGGCAACTGCAGTGCGGCGTTGATTTGTTGTTTTAATTTCAAAATATATACATACACTGGCGCAACTGATGTGCATATATTGTATAATGCTTACGGTATATATAGTATAAATAACAGCGACTAAGGCTAATTTATGTACAAACAAGGTGCTATTTTAACACGCACACACACAGTCGCATATTTATTTTAATTGCGTTCAGCAAGCTACACACAACAAAAAATAATGCTAGAACTGTACAATTCGACTTTATGCTTTCATTTTGAAATGCAAACCTTTAGAATTGGTTATTTTTAAAAATTTTAACTATTTTTTTAGGAGTGGGATGTGAGCCCGGATTTTTGTAGATTTTTTATTCATTCATTTAAAATTTTAACTTTTATTGCATCTCAAAGGGATTACAAATATGCTGAATTTATTATCAATCTTATGTTTCTTTGCAGTGTACGTGCGAGGGAGAGGGGGCGTTGTCGTTCTCTCACGCTGCCCCCTCTTCCCATCTCTCTCTCAGTTTGCTCGTATGTGTGTATTATTTTTTGCGATGAACTCACTGCGCGCAACAACAAAAATTACAAGTGTACTACTAATGTTTAACTACTTAAGTGTGTGTGAACCAAATAGCAGGAATTACTTTCACATTGTTTTTGCCATTTTGCTATTTAATACAACTGCTTTTTGTGTTTTTTTTTCAGTTTCAACCACTTGCACTTGCTTTTTGGCTCTCTTTTCTCGACCTCTCTCTCACGCAGTTAACTGTAGTTTTTCCCTCTCTTTTTTTGGTTGGCTTTTTGCACTATTTTGTTATTAAAAATATACTTTTCTTTTTGTTTTAAACGCACTTTTTAAAATTCTACGCGCGTTTTGGACTCGCTCCCTTTTTGGACCTTTTTCAAAAAAATACACGTAGAGCGGAAATCAGCAGCAGCAACGATTGATGAGCGCGTAATTTTCTTCGTTTCGTTTAGGGTTTTGTGCTTTTTTGTGTGAGATGGCGCTCTTTTTTGGAGGCTCTTCGGACTTTTGCGTTGTTGCTGCCTAAACTGAAAAACTCAACTGAATCTGACTGTTTGAGCTTCACGCTGCTAAAAAGTAAAAGATACAAAACACACACACGCAGGCGTTCACACGCACGAATGTTTGCAGGAGCGCCAGCAAGAGAGAGCACGCTCTCTCGCAAACTTTTGCCAGAGTTGCCACTTTACTGACTTGGACAGTGGCGCGCTTTTCAAATGCATTAGAAGACCAAATTAACTTGATCTTGTTTGCATATCAACTATAATGATTTTACACATCTTGGCCTATCCAACCCAAATTATGTACATATACATTTTTAGTCTATTTTCTAGTCTACTCAAACTGCCGAAAACAATATTTTAAGACCAAGTCGAGTTTTATGTTAAACAAGGTATTAACATTTAATGAAACTGAATATGTAGTCTAAGCCAACTAATTAAAAACTGTAATAAAACTGAATTTCTAAGTTTTTTAACTTAAAGAATAACCGACCTTTTCTATATTTAAAACAAAGTATTCGCAATTAATCTCTTGAAATATTTAAAACACGCCGCAAATGTTTCACTTTACAACCAAAGACACAAAGAACAATTAACATTCTCTTTAATGAGCTTTTTAATGGGCTCCAGACACACACGTCTATCTTTTGTCATGGTTTTATTGCGATCTATTTTGAGCGAAACAAAAACATTTCCAAATTTTTCATTTCGCGCATTTCCTGGCTAGAATTTTTCACAATTCGGGCAAACAAATGAAAACAAACAGCACAGCCGGCAATTTCTGCTTTTGTATAGAGTTTTGGCAGCTGCTTGGCGCAAGCAAACCTGAAAGCACACTTGCCAACAAGAGTTCATGTTTGTATAAATATGTTTGAGCACTGTAAAACATCTCAAACATTTATTTCGTTTCATATATTAAGGTATTTTGTTTTAAAAATATAGGAAATCTATTTGAAGTAATCGACATAAAAAAATACCGTACATGTTCCATTTCTAATCCAATACTAATATAAATGCATCAGGATA